TCGGCTAGTAATCACTCTGGGGCATATGATCAGTATGCCACGAACCCATCCTCAATGTCTAATTCTTACTCCTACAACACCTATAATGCTCGGCCAAGCAACACCATCTCATCTACAGCGCTTGCCAACCCCGTCTCAACCACGTCAACGGCACCTAGTGCATCTCAGTGGGGTACCACCGCCTCGTCTCGCCGCTCTTATAATAGCAATAATCAGCCCCCAGCTGCTAGCACCAGATCATCATGTAATCTGACCGCTTCGTCCACGCCTCAACAGTCGAAAGCCCTACAAGGATTCAACGTGCGGCCACAGCCACCACCTGCCCAGTCGACTAGAAGTTCGTCTGCGAGCAGCTATAATAACCAATCGCAGCAGCAGCAGCAGCGACAGAGTTACGGCAGCTACACGAACCAGAATCACAATAACAGCGGCTCCACCGCCACTCAACAACAGAACTGGTATGGGTTTACGGCGGCTAACAACACCAACCCCTCGTCATCAAGCTACAACACCTCAGCGTCGCATCAACAGGGTACTAGTGGTGGGTATTCTACTGGCTCGACTGGCGGCGGTGGGTCAACGCCATCGCATTCACATGCCCATGGCGGCGGTGGTGGCGACGGCGGTGCGTCGACGGGTTACGACCAGCCGCAGCATCATCGGTCCATGAACCTATCTAGTCATACGTATAGCAGCATCGATGGTGGAGACCATGCGCTGTACGAGATGTTGTCGAGGAATAATCAGCAGAGTTGAGATATTCACCCGGCTTTCATAGATGGTGGGGTCAGTCATGTCGGCTTAACGACCCATGATCTGAGAAAGTTGCTTGTTACTCTTTGTATATATGTATCTGTAGGTATATATTAAAGGAAGGGCGGAGAGGGAGGAACAGATGTTTTGGTTTTGTTTGTTTAGCTAGCATGGGGTTTTATTTTCTTTATCAGCCGTTCTGGTTATGGATGGCTTTTATGACTGATTGATGGGCTCACGGGGTTGATTATACTTACAAAATCGGTATCTTACCTGCCCTTTTGCTTTTGCGATGCTTTTCTATACATAGGTACATACAAGATACCGCCGACCCACCGCCGGTAATACATAAAAAGTTACCTAAGTCCGATATCGTGATACCTCACTTTAGTTAGCGGCAGGAAGCATAAAATGCAAGGCACGCGACAACGGGGACAGGAAAAATGAGCCATTACTAGCTGCATCTGGCCTAGCTTGAAATTATCTACTCTTTATTGCGTGACGTGTCCTAGATAGTCTGATCTATGTAGGTAGGTAGGTCGTGACTGTTGGTATAGTTGAACTCGGAAAGATCATCGAGATATCCAAGAGAAAATGACCAGAAATCTGAGGTATCTGCTATACACTTTCCGCAGCCACACGTACATCAGCTTCGGCATCAGTCTCATCCAGTATCTGTTCCGGTCCCAGACCCTCAAGCTCAGGCCGTTGTTGTTGTTGTTGTTGTTGTTGTTGTTGTTGTTGTTGAGCCACCCACCGGGGACCTCGCCTTCCTCTCAAGGTCCATCTTCTTCGCTAAGGCGATCCCCTCCTGGATCTGAGCAGGACTAATATGGACCCCGTTGCTCGCCGCGTCGTCAATCAGCTGCCACGCTCTCTCATCCGCATCCGCGAAGCAGCACTCGAGAAGCGTAAAGAGCGTCCGCCGTCTCAGCCAGGGCTTGCTAGACCCAGGAGCCCGGGGGACTTGCTCCTCCATCTTGGCCAGAAACCTAAACGCGTCGTCCAGCTTGTGGTCGAGTGCGTACGAATAGATCATAGCATCAAACATGGACCGATCGCGTCCGAGGCCCTGGTACATCGCCGTCGCGGCGAACCTGATCTCCTCGGCGCTCGACGCTTTTTTCATGAGCAGTTCGAACGTGCGCTTGTTCGGCCCTGAGCGGCACAGCCGGTGCGATTGCTCGTACATGTCCTTGGCGGCGGTCCATTCACCAGTGTCCGGCAAGGCCTCGAGAAGTACGTTAACGGCCGATATGGGGATGTCCTCGTGTAATTCTTTCAGTTTGCGCAAGGTGCCAAGCCCTTCGCTGAGCAGCTGGCTGGAGCTCCGTAATAAGCTGTAGATGGACCGCGTGCTTGAAGCTTCCGTATGCAGACCCGCGTTGTTCATGATGCACAAAACATGCAGTGCGTTCTCCAGTTCCCCGTTGTACACATACGATTCCAGCAGCGGCTCGTAGTGATGCTGACCCAACTTGATGCGCTTGGCGGAGAGGTGCTGGATCACCTTCGTAGCCAGTGTCGAGTCCTTGTGCCGCGCAGCCGTGTTGAGCACGTTGACAGCGGTGCCGTCAGATGGGTTCAGAAATCCCCGCTCAACAAGATGACTCCACACGTATGCGGTACCTTCGTAGTGCAGCGCTCTGCTGCATTCGTCCAGCAAGAAATACCACATATTGAGACTCCCCAAAACACCCTCATCGTCGCCGTCGCCGGTGGCATCCATTCGCCGCTGCACTAACCGGAACGCCTCGTCGGCGTAGCCCAAGTTCCCCATATGGTAGATGAATATGTCCCAGACCCAGGGGGGGATGTTGACGCCGCTGCGAACCAGCTTCTCCAGGTACTCGAGCGCCATCTCATGCTGGCCATCCCGGAGCCATCCGATAGCGACGCTGATCTTCCCATTAAGTTCAAGCTTCATCTTTCTCTCCCACATGTCTTTCAGGATTTGGATCCGAAGCAGGTAATCCGGATGGACAGACAATACTCGTAAAGCAGAGTGGTAGATAGCCGACGTGGGGTCGACGCCAGTGTCCTCCGAAGCTTGCAATATCAAGTCCAGCTCGCCAGCCGAGCCAGTGGCGTGGCAATTCGCCGCGACCAGCGCCTCGAAGAGGAAAACGTTTGGCCTCTCCTTGCGCCTTTTGACGAGAAACCTGATAAACTCCCTGACGATAAGCGCTTCCCGTGCATGACCACGAATCTCTCGCAGCGCTTGGTAAATGACCAGCGTGGGTGTCTCGTCCAGCTTGGTGAAAGAAGGGTTGGCGAGGAGTTCGGCTACGGCTTTCCCTATCACGGGATCGATCGGTTTGCTCTGCGAAGAAACTGTAGTCGTCGTACCTGTGCTGGAGGAAGCTGCCTCGAAATGCGCAGACCTCGTTTGGCAGAAGCGGCGGCGCAGGCGGTCGGAGCTGCCATGATGCGATTGGCAGGCGGTTCGAAATGAGGAGGATAGGGACCGGGAGAGCGGTGACGCGCGGACGACTCTTGTCAGAAGGATTGAGTCAATTGAAGGGCAAAGCGCGCGAAACAGCCCGTCAATCACGACGCCGGACGTTGGCGGCATCGAGGGAGTCCAGGCAGCTGTAGGGGAGAGACGGCATCAGCCGGAGCCATGTGGGAGCTTTGGGAGTGTACGGAGTAGGTTGTGTGGAGTTGGGAATGGCGGGGGCTAGAATTGGGTTCCATCTGGAAAAGATGCGTCGCGCAAGGAGCACAAGTTACAACCGCGAGATCACGTGTCGCCTACATTAGCCTCACCACCATCACCCAGCCCATCATCGCCCATCCGATGACCATATCTGCCGGTTGAAAGTGGTATCGTCTTTTTTTCCCGTCGCTTGGCTACCTAGGTATCTAATATAATAAGAAGCTCCCACAGGACCCATGGTCCAGTGCAAAGTCGTTCCTTTATCAACGAGGTCTCCCACCCTTCTTCCACTGCAGCTCGGTAGACCTAGACCTGATCCATCAAAGTGTTGGTTCACAGCCATCGCCCAAGCTCCTACTGGCATAGTTCCTTCTGTCATGGTCCAATACCACTGGCCACTGATCTCGTGGGTCCGACTTGGCAGCACCGGCTCTGAGGTCAGAGTCCGGGCAGCAGCGAGACCTCACCGACATATGCATCTTCCTTTCCCTGAAATAAAGCATCAGTCACCGGTTACGGCGGCGCAAGTGTTTCATGATCCACGACTACCACCGCGACCGCCACGACCCCTACCCTGGCCACGTCCACCTCGCCCCCTCTCGCCGCTACCGCGTCCGCCATGGTCGCCTCGCGATTGTCCGCCGCGTCCGCCTCGGTAACCGCCATGCTGGGTCTGTTGTTGTTCCTTGGCGAGGTCGAGGACGTCGTCTGCAACGCGCAGATATTTGATCTATTATTTGGTTAGCGACACATCACCTAACCCCCCCAGCTTTCCTCTAACCAGCACACACAACACCGAGTAAAAAAAACGTACGTTATTCCCCTTGACATAAACCTCCGGCAACCGTGTAAACTTGTCGCCATCCTATATCCCGCCTGTTAGCTTCAACCGCGTAGGCAGCAGTTGGACCACAGAGAGAGAGAGAGTGAAGGAGAACTCTAACCGAGCTTGTCTGCACCACCTCCCGCAAGGTCAAGTTCATCCACGTGTCGCAGAGAACGAGGTGTCCGTTCATGGTCTCGCCGTTCTTGAGCTCGACAAGCATCGGGTGGCCTTGCGCCGCATTGAGCAGGGCGAGGGGTAGCTGTGTAGCAGCACCGTGCTTTGGTCAGCGATTTTCTTCCTCAAGTGAAAGGAAGGGCAAAATGAACAGATGAGCAACCTACCATTGTGTCCCTGTAAAGCCGCAACCTCCACCGTCAAAAAGTTGCTTTTCTGTTTTGTTTGCGGGAAGTGTCCGTCGCGTTGCGAAGATGGAGCTCTCTTTGTTGGTCGTCGCGAGCCAGCAACCAGCATGCACCAGTGGAGAGCTTCCCCAAGCCATCGCAAAAATGGCCCGTTGCACTCACCACTGGCAGTGCCTGGTCACTGATGGGCCGACAGTGATTACGTAACTTGATCAACGAATTAAGCTTGACGTTCCTTCCAATATCAGATTCAGGATAGGACACAAACTGGTGGGTACGGTACAGAACAAAGGACATCTTGGCATGCAAACAAAATAACAAGAAAATTCAAAACTGAAATATGTAAGAGGCTTCAAAAAGAAACCTGCGCAAACGGCAGAAAGGCAAAAAAGAAGGGATGTGGACGAGCTGGGAATCGAACCCAGGACCTTTCGCATACAGGCGAGTATGCTAAGCGAACGCTCTACCAACTGAGCCACACGCCCGTATCTTATTGGATGATAAATAAAGTTAGAGTTCCATCCTATCAAGCACCACCTGGCCTCGAAAGAGCATCAAATATTGATTTATGCCAACGGTGTTATGTATCATCCAATTGTCTCTCCTAGGTAGCAGCCGGATGTTAAGTCTTTTAACAAAAGTACCACGAGGAAAGATGCCTAAATCACAACCTATCAATTGCTTCCATAAGTGAAGAGACGGAAGCCATCGCACTTGAACATAACTACCTACCTTACCTATTAGGAAACATGTCCTGAATCCCAAACGCACACTGAGCCAAAAGACTTGCAGTAACAGAAAAGAACAAGAAAAGTTGAACATGATGTAAAATCCCTGATAACCGATTAGGTTATATTGGCCAAACTGCGTGACAACAAAAACTAAACATCAAACACAGCGACCGTTCTCCATACCAACTACCTAGGTAGGTAGTCGCCATCCTGGCTTATACCTAGCCCATGTAGATAGACACCAGCATATCTGGCATTTTGTCCACCACTCAGAAGAATCAACTTCAAGAAAACTTCACCCAATCCCACACGTAACCCCTTAACCCAGCTTTCAGAGATTTGTCTCGCTCGTATTCGTCTTACGAGCTTTGTTCGCGGCTCTTGCGGTAGCTCGCCTGCAGAGAGAGAGAGAGATCGAAATCACTCCTCGGTCAGCACTACAATTACACTGGACACGCACAAACTTCATTACAAAGAATAAGTCGAAGCACGACTTGCCTCCTGTTCGATCTGCAGCCCCTCAATGACGGGCGCAAGCTCGCTCAGAATCTCGTGGGACTTCTTGTGGTACTCCATTTGGGCGGCGATCAGCTCGGCAAGGTTGCGGAGCGGTTCCGGGGTGTCGAGAACCTTTTATGGGTGATAAAGTTCTTTAGCAAAGGCTGTACTGTACTTCTTCAGGGGGGATATATCTTGGTGTAAAACTCACATTCTTCATGACACCAACAGCCTCCTCTGTCTGGGTAACAAACTCGTCCTCCGCCTTTTCAATCTCTTCCTGCGCCTCGGGGCTGAGCTCGTGCTCGTCGTGGAGCCCCTCGCGAGGCGACCCAGTACCGCCGAGCTTCCAAGTGGTGCCCTTGACGCGAGCCTTGACTGCATCAAGGTTCAGGCGAGCCTTCTCGACGTTCTTGCGGGCGCGCGTGGCAAAAAGGAGGTTCGTGTTGAGGGTCGTGTTCCAGCCGGCGAGGAATCGGCTCTGGATCTGGGCGTCCTGGGCCAGGCGCGCCTCGCCCACGCGCTCCATTGTCAGGGCATATTTCTCGAGGGCCGTGGCCAGCGGATCTTCGCCGGCGCCCGAGTGCTGCTGGTGCAGAGCCTGGCTGCTGGCCAGACTGGCGCGGGCGATCGCGTGCGGAAACGTCTTGGGTTGCGGCTTGGCGCTTGGGGGAGCTGTCAGGGCCGCTTGGGCCTCGGCGGGCGACGTGGCCGAGGAGAGGAGGGTGACCTTTTCGCTGACGGTGCGGCCGAGGTCTGAGAAGGTCTCCTTGATATTGGGTGGGTAATCGTAGCCCTCGTGCGAGTACTGGGAGCTGTTCGAAGGCGCAGGACAGGTTAGTTACTGCGCTCCGGGAACAGGTACGGGAGCGGGGTGGAAAGAAAGGCTTACGTGACCGCGAGCATCTTTTGGTGAACGGCCTTCAAGGCATCGACCCGCTTCTCCAGATCGATATAGTCTGGCGGGAGTTGAGTCTGTGAAATTCAGCCAGCAAACGTTAGCCATCACACGAAGTCACCAACACCACATCCAATGACTCTCGCAAAAACCAACCTTATCCTCGGCTTGGCCCAACTGCTCCTTGGTATACTGGAAGGTGCGCGAGGCAAAGGGGGTGATCTGGCTACCCAGAGAGCTACACCACCTCCACGTCAGCTTTTGAGGCTCCTTCGGCCGAGCCAACATCGGCCAGCGACGGCGGCTAGGGGAGGACAAGTCCATACGTGAAGCTCTTTTGCAGACCCTTGAAGGTATCCATGGTTGCTTTCGTTTACTTTTGAGATGTGTCGAGGTTTCAGGGTGTGCGATCGGTGATGCGCGGTTCGTGGCGTTGAATGGTGATGTTCTGCGCAAGGAAGGGTTCTGGTTGCTGATGACGGGAGGGCGTGTATCAAGATTGGAGCTCACTGCAACAGTCACAGCAGTCAGTTGTTATTAGGAAGATGCAACGGCAAAGGGGGTCCCACTGACCACTGTTTGATGGTGTGACCCCACTAGGTGACCTAGCTTACCTATCACCGTTCACGCAGCGAAACAATCCTCCCACCGGCAGTCGTCCATGCCTGGAAACTTCAGCCACCACCCTCAGCAGTCAGTGAGGTAGCGCGTTGGTAGGTACCAGACCTGAGGTGTGCTGATTGCATCAGAACCAATCCTGACTACCGTACCTACACACAGTCTCAGACATGTGTCTCGCACATTGTCAAGCGCAGTTTTGTATCACTCCCCAAAAATATGTGCAAATATTGAAAATGTGCGGGATATGCAATTCTACATCCCTTTGGAAGTGTTCCGAGGTCATTTAACGGACAGCCTACTTATAGTTGATTCTGAAACCCCTAAATAGAACTATTCTTTGATTTGGCTTAGAGTTTGGTGAAGCTTTAGCTATGTATTTCGCTGTAGTGCATAAGTCGCTAATGCAAAATCTGAAAAGCTGATTGGACCTTGGGGGGGGGGGGGGGGGGGATGGCTCTTAAATGACCTCGAACACAGCCAAGGGGATGGCCACCTCAGTTAGTCTCCAGTTCTCAATCCGCAGCCTTCTTCTTATCCGCCCACGACGGCACCACATTTCGACAGACATCCTCATAGTCCTTCATGAGCTGCACATTGAGCGGCGCCTCGGGATTCGTCCAAAACATGGCCCAATTGCTGTTGAAAAGCTTGCGTACGCCGCACGACCGCTCAAAGTACCACTTGTTCACCGGATTGTTCTTCCTGCTTCTCCAGCACACGCCGTCCGGGAAACAGTCACGCACCATCGCGTTGAAGACGATATCCGCCACACCACCCGCGCCCTGGCTCTTTTTAAGCACCGCGAACTTGTCCAAGTATGGCACCAGGCGGCCACTGCTGTAGGCGGCCTGCTCGTCCATCTTGAACGGCCTCTCCCACGTCAGGATCGCCCCCCCATCGTACTCTCCCGCAATAATGATACCCGCAAGGCTGTCCTCGACCCGGCGGAGATAGTGCTCAGCATCGAGCTCCCTGCTGAAGGAGTCATTAATCAGGTGAATCAGCCTAGGTAGGTCGATGCAGGTGTCGGTCAGTCTGAGTCGCGGGGCCCCGGGTTTTGGGGGCAGCCAGCGAGTGACCCGGGGATCCGGGAAGATGGTGACCGGTAGGCCTTTCTTGGCTAGTGTTGTGGTTGGCATACAAGATATCGCAGCCTTGTTGCTCTGCTCGTTTGGCTTGATTCTTCCGATAGGCAGAGATGACGAGTAGATGGGCCTATCAGTGAGAAGGTTATGTATCAATGGGTTTTGCCACCTCCTCGTGGTCACTTCGCCTGCAAATTGGTTGACACCTCCCGAAGATGTGTCAACTTTCGCAGTCTTGAGATTGGCGGCCTCTGCTGGGCTGGTTATTACAACCGAGGCATTTGATGGTAGAATGGCAAGGACAGCCTTTGCAAGTCGCAGATTCTCAATATGTCTTGGTTGTAAATCGGCGAAACCACCGGTATCTACTGCAATCGGTTGGCTCTTGTGGGCTTCGGCAGCGAGACCCGCCTGGATATCGCTGAACTGCTCCTCTAGGTTGATGAAGACCTGGGCGCCGTTGCCTTGTTGGCGTGCCGGTATGCCTCCGAGAGGGTCGATGACAATGATTCTATCCACCAATGCTCTCCGGACTGGACGCATGCCATAATCCTCGGTTAGTTTCCCCTGTTCAAGGGATCGGTTCCCAAACTGTAGCCCCGAGAAGAAGCTTGCAAGCGCAAAGACCTGTTCGTCTGGATTAACTGGCGTGTTTCTCATGGTCTCTTCGCAGACAGCCCGAGGAGGGATGACGAGAATATGGCCATGATTAAGCGGTGCCGTAAGCGCGTCCCCAAAGCCCACGAATAAGCCACTGGGAGCGGCAGAGGGAAATGGTCGCGCGGCAGGGGAAACAGGCTTTTTCCATATGCCCGAGTCTACCAGTTCAGCTCCCGGTGAGCCGTAACGTCCAATAGCCTTAAGTACCCGGTCGGTCTGTTGACTTGCCAAGTCGCGATGGCAGTCCAGAACAATGACGCTGAGAAGGCCCAGGTTCCGCAGCTGGGTGAGAGTCTTTGCTACCCCATCCAAAAGAGCGTCGTCCCAGGCCTGTGGTTCCCTCAGCTTCACGATAGCGACATGGAGTTCCTCGTTGGGCTCAGGCACAGCTTCAGGCGCTGGTCCCTGGACGAAGCGCGGCATCTCGCTCACCGCCCGGATCCCGTCGTACATGATGAAGCTGGTGGCGGGGACCTTCTGCGCTGCCCCGGCTGGCGGTTTCGGCGCAAAAGTCTGGAGGTAAGCCCGAGCATCACGCTTCGTGGCTGACGACTCAAGGACGGAAATCAAGAACTCCTGGGAGCCTGTGTAAACTTGCGATCAAGAAATGGGAGATAGGTGACTTAGATATCTTACCCTGTCCGATTCCCGCTTCTGCTTTGACTCAGCAGAGGAGGGATAGGGACTCCGTGGAGGAGTGGAAGGAACTCCATTTTCTGATGTCGACAGGTGACGACGATGCGAACACTTTGGCTGCTTCTGATTCCTCCCAATAGAAGCCTGGCTTACACAGTCAGAACTCGTTCACGATCTGGCAGCCGCCCGGAATTGATTTACCTGTGCTGCCGATGTCGCCTTCTTCCAAGCACCCATGTTGCTGCTTCGCACCAGCATGATGCCGCCCTTGGAAAGTGTCACCGGTGTCTTTCTGATGTCACCAGCCCACGACGCCGCATGCAGATGACTGCCTGTGATATATCTCAAAATCGACG